GTGTCAAAAAAATCTTAGAACGTTTCACTCATTATTTCTTTGTCACTTTTTTGAGATCGTTTTAATTTGTTGAGTAACAGGTATCAAATAACATCCAACATTGAAGTGGACCAAAATTGAAAATATCTAAAAAATGATTCAAAGCCAGCATTGACTGGGTATTGTAACGTCCATTTCGACAAAAGGTATCCCTGTCTTAGACGCCTCGACATGGACCGCTTCTAAAGAATCCTACTGATGTGACAGCATCAAAAAAGAATTGATTGGCCTTAACCTAAGATTAAAATAAAGAAGCATAAAACAAAAGGTTCATTTTCTCTACAGAAGCTCGCTCCCTCTAATTTTTTAGACGTCAAAAAAATATAATTTGCAACTTCTTAAACTTGCACGATTACCATCTTATTTTTAACATAGGGTTCAGCACTAAAAATTGGCCGTCCAACTGCAGCAACATCAAAACTAGCAAAATTTTTTACCCTGAAAAGGCCGGTAAACGTCAAAAAATTTCATTAAAAATACCTCAAAAAATAACTTATACACCTTTTTAAATTGATATAAAAGGTTAAAACCTTGTTAACGTCCCCGAAAAGCCAAGCTGAACAGAACCCATACAGTTCATAGCCAAAACCAGTTACAACACTCGGCGTAAAAACACTGCATGAAAGCTTTTTCGCCTGTAAACAAACTGAACCTTCAACGCCCTCATCCAAAATCACACCCCTTAAATACCAGCAAGAGCTTTTCCGCTTCCTAACACTACCTTACATGAAAGAAACAATTTTTTCAGGAGTTAAAACTTGTTAAACAACATCAAGACCAAATCAAGTTCCACATTTTCAATTACAATTTTATTAAGCTTCAGCCGTTAGATTTTTGAAACAATTAAGTTATCTAAGGAACTTCCAGACATGCCCTCAACCCTACACTGTAAAGATATGGTTCATTCACTGCCCAAAATTAAAATTTGAAGTTTTAGTTCTTGAAGGTGCCCGACCAGAAAGGGAAACAACGCGAATTAGAACCAACGCTATTCCCTGAGAACAATTTATTAAGAACCAAAAGCTGATATACCACTGAATGATCTGAAATGAAATAACCAAAAAACTACTTTAATTCGCAAATATTATTACTAAGCTATACGCAACAGAGACAGTTGCAACATTGCCTCTTTTGGCCCATAAAGAAGAATTCCTCACAGATACTTGTCGAAAGACAGTTACTAAAGTTTTTAAGCGAACTTTCATACAGCTCACTGTGCTCAACTGCAAATGTCACGCGAAACGACATTCAAACTGAAATATGTACAGTCTTTATAAAAATTAAGATTACCATCAAACAAAGTTAAACGAAATCTCAGTTCAAAAACAGCATGGGGTTTATAACCAAACACTGTTTTTTCTAATTTCACAAACTCAGCTTTTCGCTGTTCATAGCAACTAAACATACAAGGATTCAACAATACAACAATTCACAACAATGAAAAGCAATAACAACCCGTAAACCGAGGCTAATAAATCAATTGTACTTCTGCTATTAAAGGAAACCAGAACAACTTACGAAAAGAAAAGTAAGAATTCTAATGAGGAAAGCGTAGATAAGGAGTTCAAAACCAAATCATTTTTCTTCTAATAAAAATTAAGAGATTAAGAGATAAAACAACAATTTCCGCATATCCAAAGATTAAGCCTGCAAAATTTGGAAACTGAAGTGGTGAACTCCGTAAAGAAAAAAAC